TTTTTAGTTTTTTAGTTTTTTTTTTTTTTTTGTCCTTATCGAGACCGGCCGTACCGCGCTCAGCCAGTGATTGCACTGGTCATCCCTATATAGGACCCGAACCCACAGCGGGAGCGCTGCTGCGCTCCCAGTGCCGCACTCTCCCGAGTGCGCCACGGGCTTGGCCCGTTTTTTAGTTTTAAGAGTTGTAAATGATATCTTTAAATTTTTAAATTTCCAGTTGTTCATTGCTAGTATATAGAAATACAGTTGGTTTAGAATTTACATATTCTGTATCTATTTATGTATGTATTTAATATACTTGTATTCTGCAACCTTAAATTTATCAATTCTAGAGCTTTTTTTGTAGATTCCTTCTGTGTAAATAATCATGTCATCTATGAATACAGTCTTATTTCTCCCTTTCCGACCTGTATGTCTTTTATTTGTTTTTCTTTAAGTAAGGGAATGACTTGATTGAACTGACATTTTTCAAAAATAAATCTGACTTTCATGTAAAGAATTGATAGGACGGGGAAGTGTAGAAGAGACCAAAGGAAACTGTTGCAGGAATCTGAGAGACAGTGACGGCTTGGCCTATGCTATGTAAGTAAAAGAAGGGACAGATAAACATATTTACAACATATTTTGGAGGTAGAATCAGTAGGCCCTGGTAATGAATTAAATAATGAGAAAAAATAAGAGGAAGGGATCAGGAGGACATCAAGATTTCTGTCATGAGGAACTGGGTGAATGGAGTTGCCATTTATTAAGATGGAGAAGACAGACTACCCTTCCAAGTTGGCAGAATAGACGGTCCCCAGTGTCACCCTGTCCCACAATCAACCAAACTACAACTATTAAAGAGAGCAACAACTACCAAGCTGGAGTTGCTAGAGTTCAAGGGAAGAGGAGGAGAGACCTATGGAGTTCGTAACGGTGGGAGAAGCTACCATGAGAGAAAGAAAGGACCGCTTCAACCATTTTGAGCCCCTGTCACTTCAAGGATGGCGCTGGTAAGCACACAGAGCAAGAGCTGGCAAAAGCCGCATCTGTGCCCTTTGTATGAAGTTACTTGGAGGCTGCAGGGGAGAAGAGGGTATTGGTGACCCCCAGGCCAGCTAGACCACTACTGAGTTTGTGGACCCACATAGGAGCAAGGGGCCATAGACAACTGAAAAAAGGAGCCACTCAAAGGCCAGTGAGATATCGCAAGGGTCTGGTGGATGACCCACCCCATGGGAAGTGTTTGGAATGTGGGGTGTGGGGTAGATTGGCCCACTGGGGGAACATTGGGGCATAGCACGGACAGCTGATCTGCCCTCCAATCAATGCAGGACCACTCAGTGGAGACTGATCAGGAATATAGAACTGCAGGGGGTGAAGTTTGCTGAAAAGACTCAGGCCCAGACCTGAGTTTCCACACAACCCAGCTGTAACGGACCTCACAAGACACGGAAGTGCTTACAAGGTCCACAATTAAAACCTCAGCTACACAAAAAGCCTTCTCCAAAGAATTAGCAGCAAAGCAACAATTTAGCTCAACCACAGGGCTCAATTGCTAGTCCCCACAGGATGTTCCCCCATTTTAGAAGTAAGCAAAGGACAGCAAATTAGTTCCAGGGCAGAGTTTAAATGGTAGGAATAGGAAATAATCCAACACAGAACTGAAAGAAAAAACAAAAAACCCACACATCAGAGACATAGTTCTGATATTCACCAGAAAAGGTCTAACACCACCAAAGAACACCTATAAAACCTAGAAGGACTGGAAGCCCCCAGGCTCCCAAGCCAGGGTGGGGAGGAGAGCCAAGCGCCTCATCCATACTCCCTTGACATCTGAATCCAGCCCAGCAATCACCAAGCAACAGCTGGAAGCGCCCCCAGCTCCTGAGCCAGGGCAGTAGGGGGTTGTGAGCCTCAGCCATGCCCTTTCCCCCATGTCTGCATCCAGCCCAGTGAAGACCACCAGTCTGCCGGTGGAAAGTGCCTCAAGTTCCCAAGCCAGGGCAATAGGGGGCTGAGGGCCTCAGCCATACCCCCCTGATGTCCACATCGAGCCCATTGATGACCACCAAGCAGCTGATAGAAGTGCCCCAGCCAAGGTCGGGGGGGCCTCAGGCCTCAGCCACAGCCCCTACAACGTCCACATCCAGCCCAGAGATGACCAAGCCACAGATGGAAGCTCCCCGGGCTCCCAGGGTGGTTGTGGGGGTGAGGGTCTCAGCCATGCTGCACCCACCCCCTCCCCAAGTCGCATCTGGCCCAGCCACTATCGAGCCACCACCAGAAGCCCCCTGGACTCCCCTGCCAGAGTGAGAGAAGTGCCACGGGCCTTGACCGTGTCCCCTGCCCCCCACTTTATCCACTTCCTCTTCCCCTCTCCTCCTTCCCTTCACCTGCTCCACAACATCTTAGAATGTAATAATAATAATAATAATAATAAATTAATTTTTTTAAAAAGATGAAGATGGGAAGAAATAGATTTGGAAGAAGATGAAGAGTTGAGTTTTGAACATGTTGGGTTTGAGAAGTTTACAGAACATTCAGATAAAGGTGTCAAATAGCTGGAATGTGTGTGTGTTTGTGTGTGTATATAAAAGTTTATATGTAGGGTATAATAGGAGGAGTTTGGGAATGAGTCAGATATATGAGGGACAAAGGCTTGTAAAGACATTCTTTATTTTCAGTTGCATTGCTTTTACACCTTCAGTATGCCAAGATCGTAAGATCTTGTTTACCTTGGGCCTTTGGGCACATTGTTAATCACTTTCTGAAGTGTGTGTCTCCCTCCCTCCTCTCACCCACTCTCCCTTCCTGCTTCCCTGCCTCCCTTCTTCCCTTCTTCCCTTCTGTAAGCTAGCTTTTTATCATCCTGTAATGTAAGTCTTACCTTAAATGTCATTTCCTCAGACTACCCCACCTAAAACCAGTTATCTTTCTCCTTGCATTAGTCTCTGTTACACATTCTCTTTTCTTCATAGACCTTATCATACTTTGTAATTATTTATTCATTTATTGTCTGTCTTTCACACTATACTGCATTCCAAAGGGCAGGGACTGTGCCTATCTTGTTCACTGTCGTGTCACCAGTACACAACCCTGCACCTGGCATGTGACTGCTCAATAATATTTGTCAAATGGTAGGAAAGATAGGTCTAGAGCTCAGGAAACATGGCAAATAGATAAAAATCTGGGATCTAAAGCTAAGAAGTAAATAAAATTGCTAGAGAAAGAACCTTGAGGACATTATGCTAAGTGAAACAAGCCATTCACAAAAGGACAAATACTGTGTGATTCTACTCATATGAAGTATCTAAAGTAGTCAAAATTACAGAAATAGAATAGAAGGGTGGTTACCAAAGTCTGGGGGGTGGGGGGGTTAGCATTTAGTGGGTATAGAGTTTCAGGTTGCAAGATGATAAAGTTCTAGAGATCTATTGCACAACAATGTGAATATACTGAACACTACTGAACAGTTACTTAAAAGTGATTAAGATGGTAAACAATATTACTTGTTTTTTAACCAGTTTTTGAAAAGCAACATTTCATTTCCTAATTTTATATTCAATTAACTATTTTACAAATTGTCTACCATGTGCCAGGCACTTTCATTTATTATTCTTCCAGTTACCCAGTAAAGTAGGAACTTCTTTGCCCGTTTTAGAAGTTAGAAAACAGAGACTATAAAAGGTTAGAAATATATTTCTGTTAGACCCTACATATAGTATAACACAAATGTAGTTATCTAACTGAATCAGTTGCCCAATACTTGGATATAGATAATGTATCAAAAGTAAAAGTAGGTGAGTCCCTAGCAAGCAAGGCAGGGGAGTTGAGACTAGAATAATGAATATTTGAGAATAAGTTTAGCAAGTTTGCTAAGTGGAAAATCACTTTTTGGAAGTAGGTCTAGTTCCAGAACCACTGAATGTTTTGGACCTGTTGGATTTATTGAAAACGTAAAAAGTCCAATCAAATGTAATATTCATTAGGTAAAAGGAATACAATTTGAAAGTTTTTAAGAAGATACACACTGCCTAATATGTGAATTGAAATATGTGAATTGAAAGCATCTTTTAAAAATTTGCCTCCTTCATATTCCTAGGTAGTAGTGAATATGTGGGTAGAAAAATTAGAGCATTTCAAATAATGCTAATGAAGTTAAGTGATTGCAATCTACCATATTGTGAGGAAAAGTTGTTAGCTGTGAAAGATGAGGATAGAATTAAAATATTACCATGACTGGCATTTGATTTGAAAACTGCAAAGATAAGCTTAGGTTCCTATTTATGAAAACCATCCTTACAGCCTGATGAAAAATCTTTTAATAGGTTCTGTAGTTACCATGGATACTTGTTAGCTTTGATAGAGTAAGTTGTAATCCATATTAAATCGTCTAGGGTGAAGAACCCAGAAGACTTACCAACTAAAGTAAAAGGTAGCTTTATTTCAAAATTCACGTTAGTTTGGAGATGGAAAGGGTAAATAGCTTAAATATTAGACTTTTGAAAAGCAATTTAGTTAGGATGCACATGGAGACTTTTGCCTAAATTTCATCCTAGTGTTTACTTTTGATGTGTAACTTTTTTTTTTTAATTAGTAAAGAGAATTTCTTAATTTTTGACATAGGAATTTAGATGGTGAGACTATTCTGAAAGTTGATGAAACCAAAGCACATATTCAATTTCTGAAAGCCATAGAGACACAGACAGTATTTATTGAAGGCATTGGACCCTGTGATAACATATTTGCATTTGGCCCAGAAGTGGCTGATTTCTGCTTAGCTTCTTTTAATTGTTATATATTGACAGCTGTTTTCATGACTATTTACAAAACGTCGGATAAATGAGCATGTGTGCACCATATCTTTAGGTTTGATTAGACACTTCAGATGACAAAGAGCTCTGCATGAAGAGTTACTGAGGTGTTTTTGGCATTTCCTAATATGTCTGTCACATAGTGGAAGTGAAAGCCTTTTAAATGATTTAAATATTTTCCTCAATTATCTTTTAAAACAGGTGACAAAAGAGCTAAAACAGTATGACAACAAAATTATAGAATGCAAATTTGAGAACAACAGCTGGGTCTTCATGAGACAGAGAACAGACAAAAGTTTTCCTAATGCCTACAACACTGCCATGGGTGAGTATGACAACCTACCAGTGCTTCTTACATTAAAAAAAAAAGGTGTTAGAACCAAAATGTGCTTTGTTGTTCCGCTTGTTGGGGCATAGAGTCATTTGGACCTCATACCTGTTTGTGTCAGGTCTGTACCCTGTTTGACTTCAGACATCTTGTAGGTTCTCCCGTCTAAACTGGTGGACTTGTGCCCATGCATCCAAAAGAGAAGTTTAAAGGGCAGGATACTGGGCTTTATCCAAGTTGAATTTATCGAACAACAACAACAAAAGCCATGATAATTTCAGATCTGTTCAAAACTATAAAAATCATTGTTTGCCAGATGGTAAAAGACAAAATTAGAAGGGGAAAATGTAATTTCTAGCTCCTAAAATAGCTTTACAAACAATGAAGAACAAAGTAGATGAAAATCATTAAGAAAAAAACCAAAATCTGCTGTGCTATTCTTCAGAGTGTTCTTTGGGTACAATGTGAATGCTTTGGGAATTCAGAATAGTATGTTTCTTTCATGGGGAACAACATGAATTAATTGAAGTTTATTAGGTGCATGACTACTAGTACCAGTTGCTTCCCTAGATTGTATTTTTAGTGGAGTTGAAAAAGATAGAAACCAAGATTAAAGATTAATAGAATTGTGTGCTTTTAGAGTGCTCAGTTGATGGTGATGATAATCATATGATAAGCTTATGAGAAAATTGCCAGTTTAGGTTTTGTAGTTTAAAAGTTACTGTTGTACATTTAGGGGTTCTTTTTGGTTCTACCATCCATGTTTAGAAAGATTACTTAATTTCAAAAGTAGGATGATTAAAACAGTGTCTTTTCTTCCCAAACCAAATAAGGACTGGTACTAAATTTTGATCACTTAAGAAAAAATGCTTTATTTATTAGGCAATTTTGTTATATCTTATTTCAAATAAGTTATTAAAATAGCATGCAACGAAGCCTCCCTACTCAATAGGAATGATGGCTGGTGCCATGATGTATGTTTCAGAGTGGACATTTTCTGTAGAAGTTTTAGTTGAATATGGACTATAGTACCATATTAAAATCCCATAAAAACTGTTTTGGAGGGATAGAAAACCATAGTGAAGATGTGCTTATAACGCAAATACTTAAAAGTTTTGGTTTAAGATAAATACTACAGGAAAGAGTAGCCACTAGAAAGCTATTTATTTTGGGGGCAGGGGAAGAAGGAGATTAGTTTAAATCTGAAGCATGTCACGCAAATCAGTAAAATGGAAGTGTTTAGCATATTGGGATGAAAACCTTTCTCATAAGCCTGTGGTGAGTCAGCTGCTATAATTAACCCTCACATGAAACATGTGTCTCCCTTTGTCCACAGCTGTGTGCAACAGCATCTCAAACCCTGTCACCAAGGAGATGCTGTTTGAGTTCATCGACAGATGTGCTTTGGCTTCTCAAGGACAGAAGCGAAAGCATCATCTGGACCCTGACATGGAGCTCATGCCACCACCACCTCCCAAAAGACTGCACCCTTCAACCTAAGACCTGCTTCTGGCTTCAGGGTTAAGAGGAAAGATGAGTGAGAAAAAATGCTGTTGCCCCATTTTTGCAGCCAGAGAAATTAAAAAATGAGTATGGCTTGATGTTGTTACATATTTGAATTTTATTAAAAAAAGAAAGGTATTGTAGCCAGCCTGTAAATATTTGATGCGTTTGTTTCTTGAGTGCTACAATACATCATGGACTTAAACATTTTATTTATATTTGATAAACAGCCTTACCTTATGGAATCTGAAGATTGAAATATCCAAAGGTTTAAACAAGATTGAAATCAATGAAAAAGAGGCCTTGTTTATATATGGGTAACTTTCACATTTAATTTATAAAGTTAGCAGTCTGCAACTGTGAGCCCATAAGACAAACTGTATCTTTTAGAAGTTGTATTTCAACTGTGGCAAATTTTCCTTTTAAAAATATTAGGCAATTGCATTAAACATTCTTGCTATAATTTATCATGGATTCCCTACATTTCTGAGATTCCTGTTTTCAAGGACAAATGACAGAGTTGTTAAGTATTGTACTATATTAAACAACTCCGTTTGGTTTATATCATTTTAATAAGTTTTTTTGGAAATGTTAAAGTAAAAAAGTAAAGCTTCATTTTTGTGAATTTCATTGTTTCTAAAGGAAGTATTTTGAGTATTTTCATCTGTTTCTATTGTCTGAACTATGATATCAGACATCCAGTGTGTCCATTCTTCCAGTGAGTTATTTCATGGAACTTGTCCATTTTGAGTTATTTCATGGAACTTGGATATTCACCACCAGGCCTTTTATGTGTTGTTCTCCTGGGGGACTTTTCTTTTTTTTAAATGCCAGGGCTACTTCTGCTTTACCTCAGTGGTATCAGCACATTGTCAATTTCATTAAAACACACAACTCACTGTGATCTATGGGAGAGATATCAAATACAAACAATACTGTGTTGTTCCCTCCAACAAAATGGCAAAGGAGATGCCACCTGACTCCTTTGATTAGAAGGGAATGTCAGTGGAATAGAATGCTGTCACCAGAAAATGTTCTCCCACTGCTAGATAAATGCAGAGGCAAAGCAAAGACATTTGTAAGAACTAAACATCAAGGAAATCAAAACTTTTATTTTCAAGGTCAGAATTCTATCTGTATTCTATTCTGGGGATGTTATTTCTGTTATACATCCAAATTTTAAAATGTTTACTGATAGATAATAGATTTAAAGGGCAGCTAATTGGTCATCTGCCATTGTTGAGAAACTATGTTCCAATTGGTTTGTGAAGGAACTCTGAGAATTAGCTGATTAAAGGCTAATCTATTTATTTTTAGAGGTACAGGTTTTAAGTATGTGTATGTAAAACAAATTTTCATGATCTCAATTTTGTATATGTAAGTATATGCAATAGTGTATATTCTTCTACCGATGCAATCAGACATGAAAATCCAAATGAGTTACCTAGTAGACTGAGTATTTGACAGGATTTCTATATGACATAGCACAGATTAACCAAAAATGTATTTATATTCACCTGAGTTTTAATGTTTTTAGACAAAGTTTTTTCCTGCTTTGCTTTTCTATAGGAAATACTAGAGTCATGCTTGGGCTTTTTCCTTTATTGTTCCCAAGTTATGAAATATAAAGTGAATTTATCCGAGATGCCATGTTAATATTTTTTTCTAGAGTGCTTTTGTGCATTTGGGCGCTAAAGGGATTAAAACACCTAACTGCCACAATGATTGTTGAAAGAGGGAAATTTCTCAAGGTTCCATAGTGTCTTTTACAAAGAGGATCTAAATAAAAATGCCTGTGCAATTCCAAATAGTCTGATGCCTGCTTCCCCAGGATTAGTGACTTCACACAGTATGTTGCTTTCTTCCAAGCCTGTGTAAAGGCAGAGCCCTTTTGCAGATATAACAACAAGCTTTTCCCAATGATCTTTAATGGAGTTAAAATGTTTATGTTAATTGTAACCTTTTAAAGGAGTTATGCGAAAAAAGCATCTCATTTTTAATACACCCAGATATTTTCTCCTTGTCTTTGTGCATTTTAGCAAAAATTAATTTTCTTAATTTATCCTTTCCTTTCAATTACAGCGAAGTCTAATAGTTGGCCTTATAAGTAGATCCTATTTAGCTCTTGAACACACTAGCATCTACAGTATCATAAAAAGTCATTTAGAAGGTCAGAGGGGAAATCTAGAGTCAGGGCTTGGGACATCATGAAGGAAATGCTTCCCTTCTCAGCTCACTTCACAATAACTATTTTCTGAGACTGAAGTTTTTTAGATAGGAATAAGAAAACTTCACTTTCTTGAGTTATCAATTGTAAGAGCTTTTGCTTTTTGTTTGGAAAAGGTGGGGAAGACTCTACTGCCTGGATGGTTACATTTGCTTTCTGTGAAATGCTCAGAAAATGTCAGGACATTCCTTCTCTGATTGTGTGTCAGTGCATATTATAATAAAACTACTGATTTAAAATAACAGAAAGTCTATCTACTTCGATTTACTAGTTATGCTTTTGTGTCCCTTCTATTGCTGGCATCATATCCTGCTGCTGTCAGCCACACCCAGTATAATCCGTCTGGTTTTCTTGTGCTCTAGAGATTAGCATAAAGACAGGAAATTATCCATTTTTCTTCCCAAGAAAGAAACTGAGAAATTTGATTGACATGGGGAGATGTAGTTTGAACCTTTTATTTTTGAAGTGTAGGGGAGTGGGGGAAACACATGATGTTTTTAATATTTCTGTTCATCTACCAAAAAGTTCATGGACAATGTGTATTATGAAAAAACTATGCATGGATTGCAAAATTTTTTTAAACCAAAATAAGCTCATCTTAACTTGTTATAATGTATCCGAACAGGATTTAGTTTGAGGCACTAAGAAAGATAAGACTTCAGTTTGAAAAGAGCCCCTATTAGAGCAACATGTATTCTGCTAAAATTGAAGCAAGAACAAACATCAAATTTATGGTGAAACTTGGGTGGAAGAATGGTGAAATCATTGATGCTTTATGAAAAGATTATGGGAACAGTACCCCAAAGAAATCAGCATTTGTAAATGGAAAACTTGTTTTAAGAAGGTACTAGAGAATGTTGAAGATGAAGCCCCCAGCAGCAGACCATCCACATCAATTTGCAAGGAAGAAATTTATCTTGTTTGTGCCCTAATTAAGGAGGACCAATGATTAACAGCAGCAACAATAGCCAACACCATGGACATCTCAATTGGTTCAGCTTATACAGTTCTAACTGAAAAATTACAATTGAGCAAACTTTTTGCTCAGTGGGTGCCAAAACTGTTGCACCCAGATCAACTGCAGACAAGAGCAGAGCTTCCTGTGGAAGTTTTAAACAAGTGGGATCAAGATCCTGAAGCATTTTTTTGAAGAATCGTAATCAGAGATGAAACCTGGCTTTACCAGTTTGATCCTGAAGGCAAAGCCAGTCAAAGCCATGGCTATCAAGAGGTGGAAATAGTCCAGTTGAAGCAAAAGTGGACTGGTCAAGAGCAAATTTCCTGGCAGCAGTTTTTTGGGATGCTCAAGGCATTTTATTTGTTGACTTTCAGGAGGGGCAAAGAATGATAACATCTGCATATTATGCTTATTATGAGAGTGTCTGGAGAAGGTTAGCCAAAGCTTTAGCAGAAAAATACCCTGGAAAGCTTCACCAGAGAGTCCTTCCCCACCAAGGCAATGATCTTCCTCATCCCTCTAATCAGACAAGGGGAATTCTGTGAAAGTTTCAATGGGAAAATGTTAAGCATCCATCTTACAGTCCTGATTTGGTTCCTTCTATCTTTTTTGTTTCCTGATCTTAAAAAATCTTTAAAGGGCACCTATATTTCTACAGTTAATAATAATAATAATAATAATAATAATAATAATAAAAAGATTGCATTGATGTGATTAAATTCCCAGGACCCTCAGTTCTTTAGAGATGGACTAAATGGCTGGTATCACTGCTACAAAAGTGTCTTGAACTTGATGGAGCTTATGTTGAGAAATAAAGTTTCTATTTTTTGCTTTTATCTTTTAATTCCACTTGTTCACAAACTTTTTAAAAGTCCCCTTGCATGAGTAGATGTTCTGGTACATTATTTTTTAATGCATTTAATTCTTTTAGGATACTTAGCAATAAATATTCTGAAATGGTAAAGTAATGAACAACCAAATTCTGTTGATTATGCATTTTTGTAGTATGGAATTTTCCATCTTTAAATGTTTAAATGATACCACCATTTTGAACTATGCATACAGTTCTTCCCGGCAAAAAAAGAAACCTTGAAAGTCAAGAACCAAATACTCCCAAGTGGGGAAAACTCAAGTGATGGGGAAAACTCAAGTGATGGGGAAAGCTCTGGCTAGCCCACAGACAAGTTCAGACTCTGCCTCTCATTGGTTCTATGTTTTCTTTGTAGACACACACACCCTTTTTATTTTTTCATCTTTAAAATGGCAAAATTGGGCCAGATTATCAAAAGGAAACTTACCAGGTCTAACCATGATTCTTGAGTAAAAGCCAGTACTTTGTAAATCTCCTATATGCATAATAATAGCAGTATTACCATTATTGAATATTCACCAAGCACCAAGACTGTCCTAAATACACTGCTCTGTGCAGGTAGGTACCATTACTAACCTCATTTTCTGGATGAGAAATCCGAGATTAAGTAGTAAACTGAGACACTTTCTATTCCAGTTCGTAAATTTTTGCACAGTACTCTCCTAGGTGCTTTGTTGCAGTCCATGACTTTCATGGCAAAGGTCCGAAACTATTGAAGTCATTTCTTTGCTGCTAACAGGGTAATAGGCTTCAAGTACCTCTCCCCAGTATTCGGAGATGAAGTTGGGAGTAGGGAAGTAAATACATTTTCAGGACCTTGTATAACTGTTTATTTAACAATATTTAAATGTGAGTGACTAAGCAGCCATGAAGAGAAGTTTAATATTCTCATTAACATGCTAAATTCCAAAGAAATAAATAATTAAGTTACACACTGGGCCAACATTTTCCTGATTGTGGCATGATGAGCTGTCAACTCTGACACTTGGCAGATTGTTGTCAGCCTTGGCTAACCCAGATGTGCCCCTTCCCTCATCTGACTGATATCAGGTGACCACTGTGGCATGATAAGGAAGGTGGTGGTAGAGGGTCTCAAAGGAGATGCCAGCCACTCTTGTAGATTTCACGTTTCACAAAACTCAGGTTTGGGGTTGCCAACTATTTTGGCATGTAAGGACATTTAAAAAAAAATTATGTTGCCATTATTTAACAAAATGAAAGGAATCTTAACACCCAAAAAGGAAGTGGGATATATCTTAGAAGAAAGAACAGGACTTCACATAGAACAAATTTTGTTTTATGAAAGATTCACTGCATTGTTCTTTGCTTCTACATTTCCCCCCAAAGTGGTGAAGACTTTTCCGTGGACCGATGTTGGGAATCATTGCATAGGTGAAATTCCTGTCAGGGCTTTGTAACTGGGGAGGAGGGACACGGAAACCTTCAAAGCATCAGCAGGTCTTAGTCCCATAACTAAAAGTCATTTTCATAACCTGAGCTGACCATAGTAAATTACCTCACAGTGATTGATTACAGGAGTTGATTATATTGCGCCCTTGTGATACAAAGTATATAGGTGAAAAATGAAATTATTTGAATATTTTAAAATACCCAAATAGAATGAAAACCTTAGCTGTTTGAGGTGCAGAAAAAGCATAGCCAAATACAACACAGAAAAACAGCATTTGGCTTTGACAACAAATCGGACCAACAGTGTCACCAGTTTTCACAACTTGGAACTTGGTCCACAGTCGGTTTTGCTTTTAGATCACTGCCTCCGGAGTGGTCTTTCAGATCTTCAGCGCTGCTCCTGTTATCCCCTCCATTAAGAGCTCCTTGGCACATGACAGAAAGGCGCCTTGGTGATCTGTCCTCATCCTGTTTGTCTATGTTTGGATTTCGTGCCTGCCCTGTGATACAGTGGTGTCTCTCCTTGTTTCCAGAACTCTGTGCCTTCTAAGCCCAGGAACCTTTGCACATGGTGCTGCTGCTGTTTCTGCCAGAAGCCCCCAACCTCCTTTAACCTCAGGATCAGGGAAGCTTTCCTCCCATAGACAGCCTCCTAGCTCTCACACTGTATTATGGCAGTTTCCCTTGGTCTCCCCTTGAGACAATGGGCTCTAGACATAGCGGAGGGACCATGTCGTTTCTGTGACCCATAGCACAGAGCTTGACAATAGTGTACACTTGGTAGTAATTATGCAAGAGTTAAAACGCTGTCTTGTGCTATTGTCCCCCTCAGTTTAGCCACGTATGAACATTTTTTGTGTGTGTCACTCTAGCTTTCTCACCATAATAGAAGCACTGATAACATCTCTTGTTTCATAAGAATTTCTTCAGAGGCCAACTCTCATGCATCTTGTATTTAATCCTGATTAGAAGTGTCTGCTCTTGCTTTTTTTGCACTGAAGGGAAACTTCTCAGCAGGAAGGATCCTAGGAAAGTGTTCTGGTTTCCCTGTGATACACTCTGAGGGAGGTATAAAGGAAGTAATGTTTTTAATGACATCTTATTTTTTAGTACAATTTCACCAAACTTGCCATTTCTTAAACTAGAAGGCTCATTCTCCCCACCTACCCATTCCTACCCAATTTCTGATGTTTTCAAAGAGAAATCCTTTAGTCAATGCCGAGGCTTCTCAGTTTTAAAAATAAATTCCAACCCATGATCCGTTAGAATGACTTGGTACGTCTGGCCTTGTCTTTTCAAGTGGGAAAGGCAGGCAAAATATACTATTCTTGTTGCTGCTACCGAATGCTATCATGCAGGATCTAAAGGAATAAGAAACTTCACAGCTTCTGTAGAAGTTCTGCTTCCCTTCTGAAAGCTGCCAGGGGAACATTGTATCGTTTTGATCTATAGTATAAACACACAGTGTGCTCTGATACACATTGAAGATGAGGGATACAGAGACCCAAATTGAACCCACCGCAACCAAAGCTCTCCTATAAGAAAATTCCTGAAAATATTTCCTGTAGGTACAGGCCGAACACCTGGAGACCTCATGTGCAATTGGGATGATGCAGGAGGTGGGAGGTGATCTAGGCCTTGGTGGATGGGTGGGTTGGGTGGGGCAGGGAGGCGTGGGCAGTGAGGGCAGGGCAGGGTGCGATGGAGGGGTTTGTCCAGAGCTGTAATCACTCAGTTAAACTCACAAGCCGACTGACTGCCCTTGACCCTTGATCTCCCTCTAGCTACTGACCCATTTCTCTGTCCCCGTTTCCTGCAGAATTCCTTGAAGGAGTTGGTTGCACTTGTCTGCTCCACTTCCTTCCCTCCTGGTCTCTCTTGAACCTGCTCATCTCCACGGAGGCTGTTCTCATCGCTACCACCAGTGCCTTCTACAGGGTCAAATGTACAACTTAGCAGAATTTGACCATTTCTCACTCCCTCTTTTTTTTTTTTTTTTCACTCT